AAAAAAAAAAGAAAATGAGAAGGGAATCAAAGCAGGTCATTGCAAAAAAATGAAACACAAAGGAAGATAGCAAGAGAAGAAAATAGGGAATTAAGTGTCACAAGACAGATAGAAAACAATGAATTAAATGGCAATCGTAAGACCTTTCTAATCAATAACTAGTATTATTATAAATGAACTAAATTCCCTACTAAAAAAATCATAGAGTAGTTGAGTGCATTAAAAAAAACAAGATACAACTATATGCTTTCTACAAAAACTCACTTTAGATTTAAGGACACACATAGGCTAAGTCAAAGTGAAGTAATGAAGAAAGATATTTCTTGCAAATGGTAACCGAAAGAAGAGAAGTGGCCATACTTACATCAGACAAAAGAGACTTTAAGTCAAAAACTGTCACAACAGGCAGTTTTGGGATATCATATAATGATGAAAGGGTTAATTCACCAAGAAAATATAACAATTATGTATGCTGCTAACATCAGAGCACTTAATCCATGAAGCAGACATTTCAGAAGTGAAGGGAGAAATAGCAACACAGTTATAGTAGGAGATTTCATTTCACCACTTCTGGTAATGGGGGAGACGGTCCAGACAGAGATCAGTACGGAAATGGAAAACTTGAACAACACTGTAGACCAAATGAACCTGACAGAATATTCTACCCAGCTAGAGCAGAGTATACATTTTTCTCAAGTGCACGTGGAACATTCTCCAGCATAGATAGCTTGTTAGGTCACAAAACAAGTGAATAAATTTAAGATAGCTAGTATCTTTTCTGACTTCAGTAAAATCAGACTAGAAGTCAATAGCAGGAGGAAAATAGTAAAATTTCGAAATGTGTGGATATTAAACAGTAAACTCTTAAACAATCAGTGAGCCAAAGAGGAAGTCAAAAAGGAAATTAGAAAATATCTTGAGACGGAAGTGAAAATACAGCATACCAAACGTATGTGGTGTGGCAAAAGCAGTTTTAACAGGGAGATTTATAGCAAAAAGTATATATATTTAAGAAGCAGAAAGATCCCAAACAAGTTTACACCTCAAGGAACTGGAAAAAGAAGAACAAACTGAACCCAAAATGAGAAGTAGGGCGAAAATAATAACGATCAAAACAGAAGTAAATGGAATAGAGAATAGTAACAATAGAGAAAATAATCAGTGAAACTCAGTTAATTTTTTTTGAAAAGATACGTAGAACTGGCAGACTTTTGCTTAGACTAAGAAGAAAATGAGAAGACTTAAATCAGAAATGAGAGTACTTTATAGCTGATGCCACAGAAATACAAATCTTAAGGGACTACTATGAAAATTTATATGCCAACAAATTGGATAACCTAGAAGAAATAGATGATTTTCTAGAAACATAAAATCTGCCAAAATTGAGTCATGAAAAAATAAAAAACAAATGAACAGACCTGTACCTAGTAATGAGATTAAATCAGTAATCCAAACACCTCCCAAAATAGAGAAAAGTTGAGGACCAGATAGCTTTACTAAGTAATCCTACCAAACATTTAAAGAAGAATTAATGCCAATCCTTTAAAACTCTTCCAGAAAAATTGAAGAGAATGAAATACCTCCAAACCCACTTTATAAGACTGACTTTACCATAATAACAAAACCAAAGACTACAAAAATAGATGCAGAAATCCTCAGTAATATACTAGGTAACCACATTTAACAGCACATTAAAAGGATCATACACTATGACCAAGTTAAATATATCACTGTGTTGCAAGGATATTTCAACATAGAAAGCTAGTCAATGTGATACCTTAAGAAATGCAGGATAAAAATCACATGATTAGACAAGATGGCCAATTAGAGGTAGCTAGGAAGGTATCTTCCTGCGGAGGGAAACCAAAATGTTCAGTAAACCAGATTTTTGAAGAGAAAACAAGAGTTTCTCTTATTGCATAGAGAGGCAATGCAGACACCAAGACTGAAGGGGAAGGAAGCTGGGAATTCTGTGCGTGGTTACCATGTGCCAAGGCTAGTTTCTGGCTTTGAACGGCTCTTAGAAAAGGGCAGAGTGAAGGGATGGCAGGGCAGCCCACTCTTGCCATTGACCTCTGGGATCCTAGCTACAAGAAATCTCACCATCTCCATGGACATTTGAACTCAGAGGGCAGGGGAATCTACCTGGAAAGTAGGCAGAGATAGAGCTGCAGCCTGTGTATATGTAGCTCAGGAGCTTTTGCATATAGGACAGCTACAGTAGAATGTCACCATTGGTGTCCATGCCCAAAGGCTCTTCATCTTTTTCCAAGTAGCTCTAACCCAAGCTGACTGCTGGGCCAAGAGAGTAGGGTTGACCTCCCCATGGGACTGGAACATGTCTGTTCTTTAGGTCTGCCAGCCCTTCCCAAGGTCCCTGCCTGGCTGCTCCTGCAGGATCATGTATGCAGCACAGCCCCCATTACACAGCCTGGGTGATTTGCTGGTGACCCAGCCTGAATACTTTACTGGTGATCTGGGAGCACTTTGAATCCCCCAGCACAGATGGTACCTGATCCTGAAGGGCCAGAGGATGGAGCTGCAGACTGGTCCCAATGCCCCAGGGCTGCAATGTGCAGCTTGGCAGTGCTAACCTGATATCTGTAGCTGGTATGTGAGTGAGGGAGGAGCCCTTACTCTCAAAACACTGAGAAAGGTGATGAGTTCATGGGGCCAGTGCAGAAGTGGAGCATCCCTTCCAACACAGGTGGTCTGGGAAGGGAGTGGTCTGTCTCCCAGCTGTGCCCTATGCCCAAGGAAGAAAGACCCATGACCCAGAATACCTAACAAAGGAGACATGGGCACAGTGCTAGTGATTGGTGGGGGCTCTCCTCAGGCCCAGGACTGGTGGGGGCTCCCCTCAGGCCCAAGAGCAGACTTGGTGAAGGGGTCATCCCTCTTCCTTCTCAACATAGACCAGTACTGTGAACTCACTGAAATACAAAGGCAGCGTAGCTGAATAAGAGGCTGTATGCTGTTACTTTTAAGCACCATGTATTGGGTTCCATCCCAAATTGCAAGACCAAAAATATTTTTCCAGCATATGTTGCCTATGAAATCCAGGACAAGAATCAAATAAAGATCCTATACAGAGTCTTGGTCCTCTAAAATAACCCAGAAATGAAGCCAGTTGGATATACTCTGCTCAAGCCACAGTTACAGATACACAAGCTCTTTCAGTTAAGAACCAGTGCAAGAACTCTGACAATCAAAAAGCCAGAGTGTCTTCATACCTCCAGGGAGCCTACTAGCTCCCCAGCAATAGTTCGTAGCCAGATTGAAATGGCTGAAATGACAGGCATAAAATTCAAAATCTGGATGGCAAGGAAGCTCATCAAGACTCAAAGAAAGTTGAAACCCAACCCAAGAAATCTAAGTGATTCAGTATAATGATACAAGACCTGAAAGACGAAACAGTCATTTTAAGAAAGAACCAAACTGAACTTCCTGACATTGAAACATTTACAAGACTTTCGTGATAGAGTCAGAAGCATTGACAGTATATTAGACCAAGATATGGAAAGAATCTCAGATCTCAAAGACCAGTTCTTCCAAACAGCTCAGTCAGGCAAAAATAAATAAAACAGGATTTTTTTTTTTAAGTGAATAAAACCTCTGAGAAATAGATGTGTATTTGAAGAGACCAAACCTACAATTTACTGGCATTCCTGAAAGAGAAGGAGAGATAGTAAACAACTTGGAAAACATTTGAGGATATAGTCTGAAAATTTCCCAATCTCACTAAAGAGGCTGACATGAAAATTCAAGAAATACAGAACAACCCTGGTGATACTATGTAAGACAACCATCCCCAAGGTCAATGTGAAAGAAAAAAATCTTACAGGCAGTTGGAAAGAAGGGTCAGGTCATTTACAAAGAGAATCCCATCAAGATGACAGGGGAACTCTGAGCAGAAACCTTAGAGGCTGGAAGAAGTTTGGGGTCTATTTTCAGTATCCTTAAAAGAAATTTCAGTTAGGAATTTCGTATTCCACTAAATTAAGCTTCATAAGTGAAGGAGAAATGAAATTCCTCCATCAGACAAGCAAATGGGAATTTGTTACAGCCAGACCAGCCTTAACAGAGATCCTTAAGGGAGTGCTAAACATGGAAACGAAAGTATACCTGCTATCATAAAAATACACTGAAGCACGTAGCAC